CACACACACACACACACACACACACACACACACACACACACAGACAAAGAGAGAAAGAGAGAAAATATGGCATATTTACAGAGTACTATATCATAAAAGAATCATAAAATATTCTTTAAGGGATTCTAATAACAGGGTTGATCAGCTTATAATCTTAGAATATATATACTGAAATACTTGTATATAAACCTACTAGTACACAATCGTGGATATATGAAAAAACGATGTCTTTCTATCACCGAACAAATACCGATCACACCTAAAAAATACAATGGCCCATATTCTGTATCCTCTTTTATCGATAAAAGTGCCTTAAATGTAACTTCTCAGCCAATCAGGTGGCTCCTAAGCCTCTTTTAGAAGCACTTTTATAGATAAAAAAGGACTCAGAATATGGATCATTGTCTCATAGCAATTTCTAGAATTTTCACTCATTTTAACAACAAATAAATTCCACAAATAAAACAGAAAACTGTAAAAAAATAAAAATAAAAAGCAGGGGTCATAAATGGTCCATCGTTTCACCCTTTTTTCTGACACTTCGATAGCAAATAGATGCCATAACATGGTTCTATGACCAAAAACCTATAAGAAATCATGCAAATTTTATATACTAACTTGGAAGCAGTTACTTTTTAAACATATTACTACAATTGTAAAGCAGTTTTTTCTGCTAGATGTATCTTATGTGTTTTCTAGCTGCAACCATTTTGACTAATGACGTCAGAACTAAGAAAATACACGTTCAAAATTTTTACAAAATACGTTGAAATAAAAATGTATGTTCACAAAATGACACTTGTAATTGATCAAGCAGATCTGCAAAATAGTCCAAAAATTTTCCTTTTGTTTTAACAATTAATAATAAACCTAACAATCAAAATAATTATAAAATTAACTTAGCAGTCATATAAGAAGATAGGATTAAAAAATAAACTCTATGCCACGTTAATTTTACGATTATTGGTGATTAAAGCACAAAAAAAGTTGTCAGACTATTTTACAAATCTGCATGATCAAATATAAGTTTTATTTTATAAATACATCTTTTTATTTAAACGTATTTTAAAAAATTTTACTTTCTCACTTTTGACGTCATCAGCCAAGAAAATTACGATAGGAAACCAGGAGTTATAAAAAACACAAAAAAAAAGTAAATTACCTAAATGCACAGTTATAATAGTTGTTATATATAACAATAAAATTAATAAATTTTTTTTAGCAATAACAATAATAGAATATTTAATAATTAAAGACAAAACGCTCATGTGTATAGTGGATTAAAGTAAATAAAAAAAGTTTTCTATAATTTTACAATTTTATTATTAAGAAGTTAATTAAACAATATTAATGAATGAGTGAGCAGGAATGAGTGAGTAGAATGATCCAAAATAATTCGAAAATGTGTTGACGATCTTCTATCAATATTAGGCGATTCATGATACTGGACAGCAAAAGTATCAGTATCATATATCACTTAGTTATCACATTGTTAATAGATTTGAGCAATCTTGGATGTAAAAGCTTGTCTACAAAGCTTGTCCTATCACTTTCCATGCATTTATTCACTAATATTGTTTTATTCATTCCTTAATTGCAAAATTTGCAATATTTCAGTTTGATTCACTCTATTTACATACGAGCATTTTGTGTTTAATTATCAGACACTTTATATGAAGCAGTTTTTTTACTAGAAATATTGTCCTACAAAGAATTTGATTGTATCATATTTTTGATACTTCTAAATAAAAAGTAGAATAAAAGTTTTATAAGTTTAAAGCAAATATTGATTCAATTATATTTTTCAGAGTTAAAATCAACTTAAGAAACGTAATAGAATACCTGCTGATCCCGGAAGAAACAATCCAGAAGCAAGCAATTGCAGTACTCTCTTATACGCCTGGTTAATCGGCAACGCCTGTCTACTGGGATTGTTCATTATAGCGTTGTGCGCCAACAGATCTAGCATCCACGGGGATAATGGCTCTAAGCCTTCAAATCTGCTTCTAAGATCGCGAAGTAATCGAATTAGAACTTTGATGCTAGAGTGATGGGCGTTCTCTTCGAACCAACGAGAATGTCTGATAGCGGCGAGATGTCCTACAAATAAATAAAAAAATTGAATACTTTTGCCAATAAAAATTATGGAAACCAACTCAGTGCGAAAAAAATGCGACTAAATATTTAACCCACCTTGACAAATTTTAACGTCCAAGTGTTGATCAGATTCTAGTTTGCGTAGATTTTGATGCAATGTGGTTATCAATACACGCACAGTAGCTTCGTTATTAGCGATATCAAATCCTCGCTCTGTTTGTATTACTCTGAACATCTCCTTAGGGTTTACCGTTTTCAAATCATTATTAACCTTATTGCCAAGAGCTTCCACCGCCGTCTTAGTCGGTAGAGTTTTAAGGATAACAACTATATCAGCAATGTTGTGACCCTTTATCATTGTTCCCTTTTTGAAACTACCAACTTGTCTTACCTCTTCTAATTGCTGTCGAGCACACATATATAATTTAGATATGTACACTCTCTCTCTCTCTCTCTCTCTCTCTCTCTCTCTCTCTCTCTCTCTCTCTCTCTC